ACAATTTGAATCTCAAAAGGCGTTATTAGTAAGGAAGACTATACTATGTTTGATATCATTAATCCCGTTAAAGTTTTTAACCATTAAAAAGTAAGTTAAAGAATACAAAGTTTATATTACATTAAATTATTCTTATTATTCAATCTTATCTCAGTCGTAGTCAAAACGCTTTCAAAATATTTCTTTTGGATTAATGACGAAGGCTTTTGCAAGTACTTCATGCAAAGAACAAGACATGTTCATGCTCAAAGGTTGGGAAGGGGGGGGTGAAAAAAATTAGTCCTTGGTCAATCGTTCATCCTCTATTGCATGCAACAATTTATTGTTAGACTTTTGATATTTTAGAATTCAGATAACCTATGTACATAAAATCATTGATACAATCAATTAATGTATAATTGGTTATTAATCAGACTAATTCTGAAGATCTGTTGAATATTTACAACCACTTCTTTCTTCATTGATTGGCCTTGGCGGTCAGTGTGGAACCATTTGTGTATCTCCACCTAAGCCACACCATCCATCAAAACATTTACATGACTTAAAAATAGTCATTGTCATTTAAGATACCTCGAAAGGAAACAATTAAAAAGGGAGTATCGGAATATTCAATCCAATTGCGTAATTTTCAGTGGGTGAAAACTAATGCATTTGCAGAAATCTAATGACAAGAGGCCCATCAGCAATAACACTCACCCGAGTCACCATGGTCCTGTTGTTCTTCAAAACACTGGTTAGAATTTTCACAGTGGTTTTGAACAAGAAGATGAAATTGTGAAAATATTACGACAATGACGACGCCAACAAAAACAGACAACGGACAAATCTCGATCAGACAAGCTCACTTAAACCAACGGCCCTGGTGAGCCCCAAAAAAATCGGTCAAACATTGTACGTGATTACACGTTTTTCAAAAAAAAAAATAAATAAATAACTTGCTTAAAATATGATGGTTTTCTTCCTTTTTGTATGAGACTTATACCGCAATATGTCTGAGGCGTCATCAGACATTTATAGAAAAGAGCCACAAAGTTTAATCCTAAATATTTGAGGCTGAAATGTGCAATACATTTTCGTAGAAATAATTATGCCTTTTCCTCATTGCAGAGGAAGGAGACTACACGCCTATCTGTGATCAAGAATAATTTGTCAAAGGGAAAATATAACAAAAATTTTAATCCGTTTTTTTAATTAATCATTTGGGAATATAAAATGTTCAGAGGTAACAAAGAAAATTGCTATTTGAAATATATTTTGATATGTCTTCCCTCTAGCAAATAAACCTTATTAATTCACTTCTATCATTTTTTTTATAAACCCATAAAGACTGTAAAACATCAAGTATTTAAAATCGTTTCAAACTTTTTTTTCATCTAGTTTTGTTCATAAAACCTCAAATGTTTTTATGCCAGTGTATAGGAGAATTCATTACGCTATGTATTCAAAGATAGTAAAGAAATAATCAGCAATTCTATGTTTTATTATGAAAATTTGACATTTCGTACAAAAATATACATATTCAATATCAAGCTTTGGAAGCATACTTTAGTAAAAGCATGTTTATATCAGTGCTTGGTAAAAATATGACCTTGGTGTAGGTCAGTTACCTTTAGTGTAGTTAATTTACGAGTCTAGATATTATAATCAATCCAGAAACTATAGAAATTTAAAAAAAAAATTATCATGATGTTTTGATCTAGAATCTTATTATGTTAACATAATTAAATATATAATTGATAAAACATAATTGTATATCAATTTTGAAGCATTCCAAACAATATTCATTCTATGAATAAAGTCAGAACTAACTATTGTATGCATGACAAAGTCAATGAAGAAGCAGAAATCATATACATATATCTAATAGAAGGTACGATTTATTGAGATACCTACCAAGAATTTTGAAAAGTGCGAGAGGAAAAAATATTAACCAAATGGCATTAAAATCAAGTGACGAAAAAAAAACCGGAAGATATATTGCTTCTTGAGAAATATATTGAGGCTAGGAAGCTTTTTTCCAAAAGTTAATAACTGCTATTTAAATACATATGATTTAAATTAAAAAAGATACACATGAAGAGACGTGCTTTGTCTCAAGAAATCTAGCGTTATCACTGATCTAGATGATGAAGATATTATGATATTATAGTATAATTTATGATTCATACCAAAGCATTTAGTAGGGATTTAAAGGGATAATATATATATATATATATATATATATATATATATATATATATATATATATATATATATATATATATATATATATATATATATATATATATATATATATATAGGTAAATTGGCCAAAAAACTGCTTCTGTAGTAAATTAACCTTTTTCTGTGTATTCACCTTTCCAGGAAAAATTAAAATCTAAACCACAACTAGAGTGATTGCATCATAGCCTGTGTTCCGTTTTGAACTCCTTGTGAACTCAAATTCCAATTTTTTAAGACATGCTGACAATTAGATAGAGGATGTCTCTAGACCTACATGATCAGAGCTGTTAAATGTGATAAGAACACAATTTTAATTTCCTCAAACCAAAGTTGATTGTTTTCAGAGTTTAATGTGAAAAACTGTGCCATACGTAGCCTGAATCACATTATATATTTTATTGAAAGTAATATAAAAATTACTTTCTTTTACAAATATGCAGTAATACATGTATCAATAAAAAAAACTTGAAAGGATGTCACTCCCAAATTAATCAAAACTATTTCTTGTTGCGTAAAATGGTTACATAGGTTACATACTTATTCTCGGTATCAAATACAAAGACTTAACTGTTATGGCTAAATATTACGTGAAGAATCTATTTAATTGAAATAATTGAACTTTATTTCATTGTGTTGTATATTCTAATATTTAAGCGTATCTTTGGAGAATTTATTTAGTGTCCATTCTCATGCCTATTGTCATAAATCATGCAATGACAAAGAATTACATAAAGGCCATTAGTGTCTATAATTTGTCAGGCAGTCCAACCCATGGAGTGTATCCTCAATCTATTAATATCTTGAATCCAGCCAAAATTGATCGAATGCTGTAATGCCGTGAATGCTAAATAGGAAGAATGTCCCACTGAGAAATGTATGTCATTGTTCCTTTTTTAGCTGCTTGGTTCTATTTATCAAGTACTTTGGAAGTGAATTGACCATAAATTAGAAAAGGTGATCAGGAAATTTTGATTACTATTACACATGTGTGCAGATATGCGGAAGAAACGTAAAACAATTCGCCATTATCTTAATTACATTTTATTGTAGATATTAGGATAATTTTGTAAGGCTATGATTCGAGGCATTTGTGAAAGATTATGGCTAGAAGCTTTTTGAAAATTATGGGGATCAAAATAGTTACCAAAATATCAGAAAAGAAGAATTGTCCTTCCGGAATATACTCAGGTCCTTCCGGACTATGTACATGTCCAGGTTTTGGATGTAGTCGTGTTCTACGGAATCTCAGTTTATTTCTATAAATGAAGCATGTAATATTTTTTGCAACATTACAGTATATTTTGTTTAATAGTTATGCGTTTCATCAAGTCATATTTAGTGCAATTTTATTATAAAATTACAGTTTTACAGTAAATACTGTGCATTTACCTTGTACACAACAAATTAAACACGGATTTGTATTGTTTGTAGGTTTTTGAAATCGACATCACTGTTCGCTATTTTCACCTTTTTCATTTTAACATTCCTAATTTTCCATCGTCATAACCCATCGAAAAGTTAAATACAATTTAGGAAATTTGTTGCCAGGGTCAATATTTGCATTCCATTCTCATTAAGAATAATTACCTAGATATGATGATATTTATGTTTCTCTTTCAATAGCGCCTGGCACATCATAGTACAGACTTAATTATAAACTGGACATCGTAATATCTACTTAATTTCAATATTTATTTTCATCCGCGTTCTTGATGAAGGAAGTATGTTTTATAATGTTTTATATGTTTTAAAACAACTACACAAATGCAAATAAAAGAAATTTCAAAGCAAAAAAAAATCCTTATCAACGAATATCACATGATTTTTTTTTTTTTAGATGTGATTATGTAAGGCACGTACTTAATTAAATCGTTGGGAGGTATATTCGTATTCATACTTCATAACAGCAAAATTATTTTTTTTTTTAAGAATATCTTATCTTATATGGAAATGAAAATAATATATCTAATTCTATTATAAGGGACACTTGTTTAAAATAATTTAAGATTAATTTGAAGGATTAAAAGAAATAAACAGCCTTTTTCTCTTCCAAGTTTTTATCATATATTTTTATGGTTCGTGATTTTTCCTGAGAAGAGAACAAAATGGGCAAATGAAAGACGGAATGATAAATGTTTTATCTAAATCAGACTGGGCATACATGTATTGGGAGCGCTAAATACCTAGCGATGTCTTTGCCTTGACATGAAGACCACAAACTGATTATAATAACTGTGCATAAAAAATAAATAAACACATCCTGTTCAAATATAGCTTATTGTTGACATCACTCTGAGAGAGAAGCGCTGATTGGTATAGAGATTGTCGACTTCTATTTTAGGCGCGATGGAGAGGTAAATAATAACTTTGTTATCAGGTGTTAAAGTATGGGTAAAAAATTCTTTTTCATATTTTTGCAATATAAGGTTACAAATAAATCCCACATTATTTGCTCATAACATAAAAATCAATACAAATGAATGAACATGAATTTTGGGGTTTTCCCTTTTATACACATATTTATTTTTGCGATTTTATGGTTGTTTTATTGTATACCAAACAGAATCCTTCAATTATAAATATTAAGTTATTTGTTTACATAAGCATAAATATATAACAACAGATTTTTATTGAAATTTAACCTCTCTCTCTCTCTCTCTCTCTCTCTCTCTCTCTCTCTCTCTCTCTCTCTCTTATGAAGTTGACAGATATTGGAGAATAAACTACACAATACAAAATTAGTTTCAGAGTGTTTACAAAAGAGTTAATCACCCTGGTCTATCCACTTTTTAATTAATTAAAGTCTATGTCCTAATATCACTTCGAATAGGAACAAACTAACAGTCCTGTTTAAATGATTCCATATCTCCTCAGATGGTTTTGTACAATAAGTGTCCGGCAGCCGTTCATGACTCTTTGGACATTGTCAGTGTCAATCGCACACGTATAAAAGGCTTCACATCCGTGCTCATCATGCCAGTGTTTATCCTGTTTTGTAATTCTCTCCTTCAAATGCAACTCACCCCTCACGATTTTCTGAAAAAAGATACAAAATTGATTTAGAATGAGATTTAATCGAAGAAATGGTTCATGAAAATCTTCATTTCAGTGATTCTTTATTGACTCAGAATACGCACCATAAACAGATGTCTGATATAAATAGCTGTTTTGACAGTTTCTGGGTGAACATCGGAGCGATAAGATGGTGGAGATTTTCTCCTATTGTCTGGTGAATTAGAGGCAAAGGATTCCAAAAAGTGAAGTTTCTCTGAATCTTCAAACAAAAGTAATACACATACAATTACCGAAATTACGCTTTTTGCTGTACCAAACTCGATTTACAAAGTAAATAGTGCAGAATAAAGCAAAACCTACCAGTTGGAATGAATTTATCAAAATCCGGAAATATGTCTGGATACTTCCTGGTAAGATCTGAAATATTTCGTCCCTTAGAAATTTTCTCTGCCAAGACATCAATTTTGTTGATGAAGAGAAGCACTGACACGTATCGAAGGAATCTATTGTTCCAAACTTGGTCAAAGTTCTCCAAAGCTTCTAAAAGTCTATTTTTAGTTGGATCCTCACGAAGTGTTTGATCGAAACTGCTACAGTCCACAACAAATAGAATGGCGGTCACACTATCAAACACTTGGATCCACTTCTTGCGTTCGCCTTGCTGTCCACCGACATCGTATACGTTAAATTTCACCTGATTACCTCCGTCAGGAATTCCAAATTCAACATGCTGAATAGCGGTTGTAACACATCGACATCTAAGAATGTCTTGATCGGATGGAACGTATGCAGGACTTTTGATTTCATGAATTTTGTCCAGAAAGCTGAGATACAAAACAGTGATATCAAAAACTAAATATTGATTCTGTGGTAGTCACTAATATTTTGTTTGTTTATTATGTATGTAACATATGATATACTTACTATTTGGCGCAGTCAATCAGCTGAAACTCGTGAGATCTACTGTAGCATTCCTGTACTCCAGCATCTGTCCACAGTTTTTCGGCATGTTCCAAAAATTCCTGTCAAAACAGTTCAGTTATAAGGTGTGTACATGTTAAAGACCCAGAACCATTAAACGACGTACAATCATTAAAACCAGTGATACATCTTACGCGTCGGTTTAATATACAAAGAAGATGAATTAGGGCTACAAACGTTTGTTCTGTGAATTTCAGGATTCCCAGCCTCCTGCAAAATGAACTCTTGACTGCTGAAAATGTCCCTGTTTTCCAAAGGTATTTCGAGTTGATTCATGGCCAAAAGAAGAACCTACACTTAGAGAAAAGACTTGAAATGTCATTTTCGATGTTGAATTAAGTTCCAGTTAAATTCAGCATGAGTTGACTTGAGGAAAATACCTTTTATTGCCAATGATGTGTAGGCTCAAGGTTCAGAAGGAAAAGCAGTGAAGGAAAAGACTTTGAATTTATAGGATAAGAATTCAGTCGTTTAAAATACTTTAAAATCTGTGGAAATAAGATATGATATTGAAGTACTCACCACTATTGATTCCTTAATATTCTTTCTTATATCACATACTTTATCAAGCCTCTCCCTAAATTAATCAAGTTAATACAAACATTTGTAGAATATCAGATATATAGATCAAATTCAGGAAAAATTATAACAATTTAATATAGAATGAATAAGATAAATTTGTTAATATCTATCCCCCACGTAATTAAATTAATTTCGTATTACCTCATATCGAATCCGTTTATGTGAATTATTTTCATCTGTTTCGTTAATGTACTCTTCCCTGATTCCCCGGTACCTAAAGGTAAAAATAGAGTTTTTTTTTTGAAAATAAGTCCCCGTTTTATTACTTTGACTATTTGTTTTGCACGTTAATTATTCAGGGAATGTTAAGGGACCAATAATGATATAGGGTACCTACCAAGTAACAATAGTTTCAGTTTCTTTAACTCCTCCTTTTGGTGCTGCTTCAAGATCTTGCTGATCTGTTTATTCCTAAGCTTGGCTTTTTTAGCATCCTCTTGGGATTGATAACAACCGAATCTATCCTCGTACGCACTACTAAAACACAGCCTCATTGTCTCCTGCATGGCAGCATCAGTTTTCTTTTCACTTTAATTTGAAATTTCTTTTAAAAAAGTCCTGAAGTTAGTTTATCTCGCAATTAAACACATTTGACAAAAATCGGTAATTAACACCACTAATGTTATGAACACTTAAAGTCCCGTAATCGAGATAGACACTTTGTGTACCGTTGACAATGTTAAACTGGTTTCTATTTGCGTTGACGAGCTTTATATAACAAAACCATGTGGCATATCGGTGTTTTATGTGTCAAAAATACGGCAAAATGAGTTCATGTTAACAGTCATTAGCCAGCTTGTCGTACAACTGGCAATTCATCACTTCTCCTTTACCTTATTTGACAAAGATCAAAAATGATTTGTGACTTTTAATTGTTTTGCATGGATTTACGAAAGGACTTGTAAAGATCATCGTGTGTCAATCTAGGAGACAAGGACAAGTCAATTAATATCTTAGGTGGTAAAAATAAGTTTGGTAGGTGGTAGGTGGATAGGGAATAAATGATAGAAATCCATTTGTTTTAACTTACGGAGGACAGTAGTCCAAAATTCAATGTGTCTGTCTGTCAAGCTGGCTGTCTGTCTGTCTTTTATAACAATAATTCCAAAGTAAATAATAGTAATTGAAAAGATTTCATGGATGACAAAAAGGCTTGAGGTTTTTGTATGAATAAAGTGGTGTGCTTAGATTTGAGGGATTATTATGGTGAATTCATAAATGTAGAATCTTTTAGAATACTTTTGAACTGCTTGACCTGAATTAAAACGTTAAAGAAATGAACGTTACGTAGTGAAGATTATATTCTGTTCCCATAAATTGGAATAGGTTGTAATTTGTTTTTTCCTCTTCAAGGAAGTCCAATACATCTACAATTCAATTAAAGATACTTAATTTTTGTTTTTCTATTAAACATGTCAGTATTCTTTCAAGTAGATAAAATCAATTAATACACAATTAAAGTAGAAAAATCTAATAGCAGTGAAATACGCACTTTGTTTTAACACTATCTAAGCATTCTCTATATAAAAAAAAGAAGGTTCATTTAATTTATTTGAAAAAACAGTTAACGTTACTCATTAAAGTGTCTTATCCATGGCTTTTAGTGTTTACTATCATTTCTGTATATCTAAGGCTCTTTGTTATCTTCACATTTCATACTATCATTGTTGCAAAAATCATCTACAAGAATTCGAATTAATTTTTTTCGACATTCCTCAAAAAGCATTGTCAGCATCATGCATGCATTTTGCAATCCATTTAAGGATTCAGATTCGTGTAATTATCAAATATTAATGAGGAAAAAAATCGATTGGAGAAGGCAGAAAAGTTTAATAAATCCAGCAAAGAAATTGGCTGCTTTCGTTCACCAGCGTTGACAGTTGACTGATTTATTGGGGATATGAATTGTTGAGGTCTGATTCTGAGCAGAATCGATACATGCCAATCACGGCCCAGGTGAGGAGGGGAGAAAGTTAGCATCACAAGATATGTTGATTGCTTTTCTATTCTTTTTATTTGTTAGGTGTCCTGAATTTCAATTCATTTCCCTAATAGCACTAGACCATGAAAATTTCAGAAACAGTTTTTTTTTTAATTTTTTAGACATATACTAAAGATAATTGAGAAGTTGTAGGTGAATACTTTAAGTCTTCTTCGACTTTCAATATTGGTATCAAATTCTCAGCATCTATAAAATTTTACTTTTGAGTGATCTTAATTTTTGTAATGATACCATTATTTAGAGGGAAATGCACATCTATTTCAAATATATGTTAAATTATAATGACGTTCGTTATTCTTCGCGCGGGAAATCAAACAGAGAATAAAAAAAATAAATTCACAGAAATATAAGAAGAGCATTGCAATATCAGTGGTGTACTAGGTCTGAACAACTTATAAATACTAATTCGAAAAATTTTGGAAGAATTCCAAAGCTTCCTTTTTTTACTTTGTTTTGTTTTCTACTATTTTAGTATCCAAAAATCTTTTAAATTAAACTTAACATTCGATCTTCACATGTGTCATCTGGCTTTAGTCGATTACTTAGATCTTAATTTCTATAATTAGAAATCTTGTATTTTCAGACAGCATAGTGCCAAGTTTAATTACGATATCAGACAATACTCAAACACCAGTCATTGTAATCGTATATTTCACATTGAAATTCCATAAACGCCTGTGAACCATCAATAATTCGTAAATATTTCAATCAATTTCTAAATTGATTAATTTGGAAACGTAAAAGAGTGCAATGGTTATTTTCAAAACATGGTTGAAAATATTCAATCACTTTATATAAATGTCATTTTAGTTTCTGAAAATACAATTTATAAATGTAAAGGAATATATTTTGTCGTTTCGCTTTCAAGTCTTCAACATGGGTTGATAGGAGACACGAGTAGTAATTTTTTTAATACCTTATAGGACTTACCTTTAGGAATGATAATAAAATCTGCACTCTCTTGATCGAATTTAAATTAGAGACATAGAATAATTCTTTAATTTAGAACCAGTCGGACAGAAACGTACGTTAAAGGTTTCCTAGGATTTAAATTTATTTGAATTGAACAATTGACCTTATTTTCCTTCTTTTCAAACTCATCAATATAGTACAAATCAGAACTTATTATGGTTTCTGCTGCATATTTTGTAAAATTATTACATCATGTGTTTACATTTGTTTTACTTTGCATGCTATATTTTGTGTTGACATATTTTGGTTGCTTTATCATTTATTCATTAATAAATGACCATTCGATTTCTATCTTGTCTTTTCTCGAATGTGTCAAAGCACCGCGTTTTCAGGTATCCATAAAATTTTTATTTTATAAAAACTTGATGCTGATACATGTAATACCTGTCATTCATATCTTTGTCTTTTTGTGAGGCCTCTTATTTTCTGTATTATCACTGTGTGAGCTTGCAAGTAAGGTAACGTCTCTCAATTTAACATTTATCTTATATTGCCATCACTCATCCCAACTTGTAATATTAATTCGATATATCCCATTGAGCTCCAAATAAAAGGCATATTTGGATGTTTTACTGGAGGAAGATCCTGATGGCAAGCTAATAACTAAAGTCTATGATAAGCGTGATGATTTCAACTTTTAATTTTCCTTATTTATGTAACAATCAACCATTATCACCTGCATATGGAATTTATGTCTCCCAGTTCAAACGATACGCAAGAGCATCTACCTTCTACTCACGGACAATTTCTAAGACGATGCAGACTTTTCACAAATAAGTTGATGATACAAGGATTGGCATAATCTCGTTTAAATTCAACATTTCGCAAATTCTATGGTCGATACAATGACCTTGTTTGTAAATGCAATCAGTCGTTAAGTCGAATGTTGACTGTTGTCTTTCATACAATTTTTTTTTTGTATTTTACTGCATTTTCCTCGGATTTTTCCTTTTTTATGAAAAGGACCACAAGGCGGATGTGACCGGTCCACTGGGGTTACTTACTCCTCCAGGGCACTTTATCCGACCTTTGTTTTCAGAGGTTCGTGTTGGATCTTCATAAATGGACATTTGAGAATTATCACTGTTTGTTATCTTCATATTTCATTAGCATGCATTGTATGGCGGAAGTTGCCCATCTTTGACAATGTCTACACATGAAATGCCCTTTAGTTTACTGTGCATTGTTTGTACCAAACGTTATTTTATTTTATAATACTGTAAACGTAAATTTTTATAATTTTTTGCTACATGTTTTTTATTTATTACTTATTGTGTCAAATTTTGTTTGACTTTGTACATTATATTATGTTTACAAATTTTGGCTGCTTTGTCATGTATTCATGAAGAATTGACCATTCGGTTCCAAACTTATGCTTTATATATGTTTCAAACAGAACACCACCTTATCAGGTATCCATAAAGATGTATTTGCTGCATCCACATCTTGCTAGTCATGTACATCACTTGTTTAAGTAACTATGAAATTTTTGTCAGTTAAGCAAAAATATTCAGTTACTGGACTGCTTCCATCATCTACTGCTTAGTAGCACGACATGACTAATAATCATTTTCATCTGAGTGGTGTTCTTCATGCAAGTGAAGTCAGTATAAGAAGTTATGGGTCAGAATAACCCGAAATGCCAGCAAAAATCAATCACACAGTTTAAACTTAACAATAATTTATTTACAGTAATATATAAAAATCAAAACTTACAGCAAGAATCCAAACATTCATACAGAGTGTCCGTAATTGTATATACATACAATGTCCCAGAGATAGTATACAACACCTATCTTATTCCAGTCTCTTTGTACCCAAGTCCTTTTGGTGCTCCAGTCTTTTTTACTTATGCATACAATCGGTAGTGTATTTAATTGCAAATACAAGGTGTTACTGGAACATTCTGGACATACACGAAAATCAAGATTCAAGAATGTTTTAGAAAAAAAAATGACCATATATGTTGACCACATCGGAATTTTCCAGAAGTTTTTTTTTATGGTACTCAGTATATACATGATGAAACAATATAAACACATTTCAATTACACAACACCTCACAAAAAGAGTTAAATCTACTCGGAAATAGACGAACTTCAAAATGTTTACTTAATCACTTATTTTAGAAATATACGTAACCGACATTATCTGAAGTTAAATTGATATTTTCTGTCCTTAAAAGATGTTATTTATCAGGTTTTGTTCAATGAAGGATATATTGTACTTAAAATTTGTTCTGCTCCAATTTAAATCCCTCGGTGATGACTTACTCAGAAAACGATGGTCACATTAGCCTCTGGATTTTCATTTTCTTTAAATATAAAATTTAAATTAGGTTATATTATTGCAGAATCCAATGAAAGAAAAATTATAAAACAAATCCTTTCAGTGCCTAAAGGGACCTCTGATAAAATTGAGACTTCAAATTGTTATTTTCCAAGCCAATGACAAGCCCAATCATATGCAAAGAATCTTTTGCTACCGATAATTATAAAGGGGAAATCCAAAGAAAATATTTTAATAAAAGTCAAACGCTTCTAACTTCTGGTAGCAAAATAAAAAATTCATAAGTATCCATGACGTGGTATAATATGTGCAAAATGAATTATACATGTGTTTATCATGTGAAAA